AAGTTTTTGTGTTCATGCCGTCATATAGTGAGACGCAGAGGTCGAAAATCACCGCGACTGTCACGCATGCTTCAGTATATGTGTAATAAAAAAAAAAAGCATTTCCGCCATTCATACATACAGAGGCAAGCGGAACATGCAGGATTCATATTTAAACCGTCTTTTTGCATTTTAATATTCAAAGACACTAGTTCATATCGCGATTCGAATTAAGTGGCAGTGGGTACTTTTGATTTATTCGGCCAAAATTGACTAATTCCGTGACATTCATGAATGGACTTCGCGATCCCGTCTGCGTTTTCAAAGAAACCATATGGCCCTAGAAATGTAACCACACTTCACAACATTTCGGCTTGCCCTGTGTGTTGTTTGAAGGAGTTGCAGGGGTGACCTCACGTCACAGGGTTTCTCTTTCTCTCTCTGTAGCGTATGCGGCCAGGTGCGTTCTCAGGTACCGAAATTTGGCAGCGATTGATTTAACGTGAATCAGTACTCGGTAGTACCGACGCAATTCGGTCGGTACGCTTAAAAGTACAGAGTTCGGTACCCAACCCTAGTCGACACAAATCGTGCGTGTTGCCAATGGAGACAAGAAGCTGTGGTGGTGATTAAATGATTAAAACTAATATTATAACGTACAGGGTCCTGCAAGAAAAAGACGAGACCTGCAAATCTGCGGCCACAGAACAGCAAAATATGAACGCATGCGCAAAGTCTCTCGCTAAGCGTTTTCCTCCCGTAGAAAAACATAAACACTTAACATGGCTTAATGTATTAAGATGCTATTAGAATATCAAATTAAATATACAGTTTATTAATATAATGAATATGTATATAGTATTTTCCTCCCATACCGCAAAACATGCCATAATGGACTAAGATGATAAAGGCCAAACTCAATATGCTCCTCTACATTATTAAAATAGGCTACATAACTAATATGTACAGGCAAGCAGGTGAGCCCAGAATAAACGCACCACACAAAGTTTTGCGTTAAGCACTTTTCCATATAGAATAAACCCAGCAAGCAATTTTGCGTTTAAAAGACGTCTATTCGCCGTCTAAACACAGCCCAGACATCTAGGCTAAAACAAGGCTAAATTTGGGCTGTCAGTGAAAATTTAATAGACATCTAACCATAGCCCAAGAATAGACTAGTCTTCAAATAGACAGCTAATGAATGCCTACATACAGTGGGGAAAAAAAGTATTTAGTCAGCCACCAATTGTGCAAGTTCTCCCACTTAAAAAGATGAGAGAGGCCTGTAATTTTCATCATAGGTATACCTCAACTATGAGAGACAAAATGAGATAAAAATAAAATATTATGATAAAATATATAAATATAAAAATGAAAAAATTTAATATTTTAAATAACATAAGATATTTAAAAGAAAAAAAATCTAATACAAATTAAGAGCATGTTATCACACTTAACATTAAAACATTACGGATAAATGACAACATAAAAAAAGATTAACCATTTTGTTGGTTTACTTATTTTAACAAATAAAACAACCAACAGTGAACTTAAA